CCTAGTTAGATCCAGTAACAGGAGCCAAAGAGTGTGAGTTCAATACCCGGTTAAGGCAGTGAAGAACTTGGAGATAACTGATAAATGACATCCATTAAACATGGCACATGGAACAGTCTACCCCAGTGAGTGAAATAAAGGGTTCGGTTCAACATTCCAACCATCTGAAGAAGGCCGGGGCATACAATGGCCGAAACGTTGTAATAAATATGGCTACAAAGATGAGGACAATAGTCTGAATAATGTAAATAATGTTGATATCTGCTGTTTTTAACTCTTTGATTAGAAATTGTAATTATTTCATCTTGGGCAATCTGTATTATGTCATGTAAAAACGCAAATTCTCTAAATAGTCTCACTTGGAAAAATTATTTCAACTGAAAAAACACAGTAGTCTTCCTTTATCTCCTGTCCATGTGTTCTCAGATTTCCAGCAGATATCTGAAAGTGTGAACAGTACTGAACTCTATATAAACTGTTTCTTTTCTGATACACACATACATACATATATACATACATACATATGATAAAGTTTAATTTATAACTTGGGCTTGATAAAAGAATAACAACAATAACTAATAATAAAATAGAATGATTATAACAATGTACGATAACAAAAGCTAAACGATAGAAGATTCATTATTCATATTAGCAACCTCAACTTTAATTTTTTTTTTTTTTTTGTAAGTTGAAGACTTTTATTTTTTTACTAAAAAGAAGCATTTTACAAATTCTCTTTGGCATATCCAAATTGCAAGCATTAATGTTCTTGTCTTTGTGTTAAACAAAACTTACAAATTGTTTCTCGGGTAAACCAAATGAAATGGAAAGAGCAGATGGGTGGGGCATTGTAATGAAATTACTTTCTTTTCATTTATATATATATATATATATATATATATATATAATATGTGCGTGTATATACATGATGTGCGCATTTGCTTCTTCCAGTGCTGTTTATTGTTCCAACAACGTAGACTTCCTACTAACATTGTTACTAACACTTTCTAAAATATAGTGTTACCCGCCCTGCTGTTGATGCTGCTGCTACTTATGCTAAGGCTGTTGTGATGCATATGACATGCCTAACAATGCTGTGTCTTCTTCCCTCCAAATTCTGCTCATATTTTTAGCTGTTTTGTATCTGTTAAATGTATTTGATATTGTCTTCTTGTTCTTCAAGATTCTTTTTTTATTCTTTTTTTTTTTTTTTAAACCAATATTTGAGATAACCATGTATTAATGTCAACTATTGTTGTATTATTTATTTTACTAACTTTAAATGGGTCCTTGTTTTGCTTCATTTTTAATTTTTAATTTATCCTTTGAAAAATAGTTCTATATTCAGTACTGAGTGGAAAACACATACATACACACACACAAAAAAACAAAAAAAAAAACAAACTTAAAATATACTGATTCACCTATAAAGTGACAGCATGTCATGTAGATTTGAAACATAAATATTATATTTATATTATTAATATTTGTAGAATATTAATGGTTTTATTATTGTGCAATATCTCCAATGGTGGTAAAAATAATAATAATAATGTACAAAAATTAAATTACTAATATAGATATTTTCCTACATTTAATTATTTCTGAATATTGGGCAACTGATCACATGGTTACTTGTGTCCAGTTATTCTTGTAGTCAAAGAAAATTCAGTAACTTCATTTTACAGTTCATTACATTTATGTAGGTAAAGAAATGTTTTCTTTCATTTTGTATGTAAATTTTATTGTATGTTTGTTTAGATGATCTATAAGATCAAGTAGATGTGAGGAATGGTGGATAGCGGCTTGGATTAAGGAATTGGAGAGCCATGGTCGAATTCCAGTTGAATCCATTACATTCACTTACGTGCTAATCCTCTTCTTTTCCCTTCAACTGTGAGTAAATAGCAGGATAGACTGGGTTCTATAGGCTTGGATGGAAACTGGTCTAGGAGAAGGACAACTCTGAATTCAAAACCTATGAGGGTCATTTCGAGATCTTTTGGCACGTAGTGCACCAGGTCTCTGTATTCAGCCCTTTATAAAGCATGGATGGATCTGTACAAAGCTTTCACCACTATAATCAAATCATATGTACTGGTGTCTGGGCTGTTGGTTCCTAGGAACTGATCTACTTGACCCTCATACTTTGAATATAACAGGAAAGTCCACCATAATTAACTTTACATAATACAAAATAATCTTGTAGGTTTATTCACTGTCAAATATTTTTATTTTCATTACTAAATAATTTATATTTGTATATTTAATATTTTTTGTTTTGGTGATTCATAAGCCACTGTTGGTTTGTTTCTTGTTAAATTCATCAATTATATTTCAAAATATTTTTTAGAAATTTTTTCAATTGGTTATTTTTACTAGTTTTAGTTTTATTTTTATTAGATGAAACATTAAGCATTATTATTTATTTTTGATTAGTATTTACTTTCATCTTTATTTTTAGTTGCCTTTTATCAGACTTTTAGTTAATGATATGTTGATAGAATTGGAAAAAAATGATTGAATTTCAACAAGAATTTTTTTTCTTTATGACTGGTTCTCTGCTGAGTTAAAAAATTTGTGATAAAAAAAATAAGATGAAAGTCAACAGTTAAAAATTGATTTATTTTTTTTTTTTTTTTTTTTTTTTTTACTGGTTAAATTTGGGCAGGAATTTTATTAGTTAAATTTCTCCTTAGATACATTTACTTGGTTTAAAAAGAAACAAGATAATAGAAACAAATATTCAACTGCTTTCCACTTGAAATGATCTACGCTCAGTATAAATGTCATTCTGATAAATTTATATGCATTTGATTTGAACAATTTAGTGAAGTTAAAACTATGTTTTAGTTGTTTTATATTTTCAGCAAAAATTATTTGTGCAACAGAAATATGAAAGATTTTTGCCTTCAAATTTTGAAGTAGATTGATAACGTCATAATTGTTTTTGTTCAGTACCCACCCTCACCCCAGTTCATAGTTTTGAGTAAAAGCTTGTGTCTACTTACTTAGGAAATTCTTTCTAGTTGTAGACACACCAACTGGTGGGTGCATTGAATAGGCCCATTATATAATAATAATAGTAGTTATAGTTATTGTATTAGTTGTTGTTTTTTGTGGTAACAGTCTTGTTTCCTTTGCATATAAGTTGGCCCAATTTAAAAAAAATAAAAGCTTTACATTATAGGTTGACCCAATTAAAAAAAAATTAAAGCTTTACATTATAGGTTGACCCAATTTTAAAAAATAAAACTTTATAATGTACGTTGGCCCAATTAAAAAAATAAAGCTTTATAATGTAGGTTGGCCCAATTTAAAAAAAAAATAAAGCTTTATAGCATTCATATTAGTAATTTGGATTCTTGTTAGTTATTGATTATTTGAATCATTCTGAACTTACTGTTGTAATAGCACAATGATATTCAAGGGATGTGACATAAAATATTCACCAAAACGATGTAAAAAATAAATTAACGAAACTATAGTAGAAAGTTGCTTTTATTATTTCTCTATAAAAATATTTGGTAAAAATATATCGTTTTTAAGTGAATTTTATAAACAGTATTATTCATACATAGAATTATTAAACCTTATATAGGCCATTTTGTTCCACTACTTTTTGTCATTTTTGAGACAGCTTCAAGTTTCTATCCTCTCAGACATTGGCATCTTTCTGGATGATGAACTGGCCAGAGTAGTTTTTATAGGCCTCCAGAAAATTGAAGTTCTTTCCATTTAAGAGAATTCTGTAGGAATTGGAAAAAGTAGTATTATGAAGGTGCAAGGTCAGTGAAGTGTGACATCCCAGCCAAGCTGTACCAATTATTGCCAGGTCTGCAAAGAAACATAAAGTCTGATATTGTTCTGATGGAAGATGGCACTTTTTGGATTGGACAATTCTGAATATTTTTCATGGATTACTGTTTTCAATCAGTTCAATTGGAAATGGTATTTGTCTGAATTCAATATCCGATTTTTGTGGGATGTGCTTATAATACACAGTACACTTTCTGTCCCACCACATAGACATTACTCTCTTTGAATTTAGACCAGTTTTTGAAGTGGTTAACAGTAAAGCAATTAATTTTTACCAGGACCTTTTTCATTCCACATTGCTGTACTCTCACTTATGGCACCATCTCCAAAAACCTTATTATTTGACAAATTATTTAAACTCTCATCTTTGCTTTTATTGTTTTGTTCCCTTCATTTTGGCTGGTGAATTCTCTGGTCTTTTGCTGTATGTCACATGTGGCAATATATACCCTATATTGTTTGAACATTTGAATGCTTTCATCATATAGTTACTGTTAAGACAGTAGGTCAGCTGATCTATTTTTCGGCCCTCATCGCATATTCCATGAGGAAAAAAAGGAAGTTTCTTTAAAGAAAAACAAAACATCATTTTTTTTATTTTTTTTTTATAGCAACTATACCAATTCATTTCAGTAGTGGTAGGTACACAATACTGACATGCAAGGAATCTTCATTTTTTTTTTTTTTTTTTTTTTCTCATGGAATATACACCTGAAGAATGGATTGGACAAAAAACAGAAAATATACAAAGAAGCAATTCATTTGTCTTAACAATATAAGATGTTACGGTTTCATCATAAATCACAGGCAATCTTAAGAATAGTTTTCTCTTCACTTTGCATGCTTTCTTGTTTAGAAAAGTAAGTTTTCACATTGCTGGATCTCTATTACTTGATAAATTAAACAATGTGCATTGGGACAGAAAGTGAGCAGCATCATTCAAAACCATTTTTTTTTTTTTTTTTTTTTTCAAATATTATCAGATATGATATACATCTGCTAAGGAAGGCCTTGAAAACTCACTAGCCAAAGAATAGTGATGAAACGCAAAGATGCAATTGCTAAACCAAATAATTTGTTTGATAACAATTAGATTAATTCTAAAAATGCAGTCTTGAAATTTTTTTTTTTTTTTTTACTTTGTCCAAAATAATCGCTAGTCTGACATTTTTGTGTTTCAGGGTGCACTGACAGCCGATGAGGAAGCAGCACTGATGTCCAGTTACCAGTATACTGGTGCCACAACCAACATCCACCCATACCTTTCCTCTATGGTCAACTATGCCCAACCAGTTAAATTCAATTCATTTGAATTAGCAGAAGGTATTCACTTACCTGCTTCTTCTCTCAGTGATTAGAAAGTGGGAGAGAACATCTCTACCCATATGGCATTTTTTTTTTTTATATGATTTTGTTGGGAAGAAGAAAAAAGGCTGGGTTTTTTGATGACCATTACAATTGTGAATTTTCATTAGTCAGATGTTATACATTTTAAATATTGCTCATCTTTATATATATATATATATATATATATATATATATATATATTCAGCCTGTATTAAGGAATATTCAGTGAAAACACAACTGCATTTATTTTAAATTATTTTGAAACTATTATTGTACTCTCTCTACTGAGACAATTATTCTTTAATTAAAAAGAGAAACTTACTGAAATTTATTTAATGTTACTATTTATAGAAATAATTTTTTTTTTTTTTTTTCAGAACTTATTGCAGAATTGTACTTATAATAGTCATATTAGTATTAGGTTGGTGCAAAAATAATGACGTAAGAATGTCGTTTTTTGACGTTAAAAAATATGTCAAAAAACGACATTATTACGTCATTATTTTTGCACCAACCTAATAACATTTGCTTTACTTCTGGATCACCAAAATCCTTTTCTTCCTGATTTTTTTTTTTAATGCTTTCCTGTTAAACTTCTCTTTTCTACAATTCATTCCTATAGTAAAATGCATATACATTTGACATATAGTCCTCTTCTATCTGCAGCCGTTGCCTTAATTCCTGATTGCTGATAATTCTTTTGTTCTTGATTCTCACTGCGCAATAATCAGTTTGGAATTCGTTAAAATTAATTTTAGGTGAAAAATAGAAGAAATTGATAATATTCATTTTGTCAGTGTAGAAAATGATTAAAGCTAAGTTTGGTAACCATGGTAAATCCAATAAGAAACTAAATACAGTTAGGACTAAAATATGATTATTGTTTCATTTTCCCCCTACAGTCATATGTATAATCTTTAGAGTGACTGAATATTTGGATATATTTGTTTAATAAATCTCTCCCCATCATGAAAACTCTCCTCATCTAATTGGTTAGACTATCAGGTAGTCATTCATATTGTATCTGATTCTTATCATAATTCTTAAAACTTTATATATATATATATATATATATATATATATATATATATATATTATTAGGTTGGTGCAAAATAATGGCGTAATAATGTCATTTTTTGACGTTAAAAATGTCAAAAAGCGACATTATTGCGCCATTATTTTTGCACCAACCTAATATATGGTAAAGAGAATAAATCCATTGGTATATAATCCAAGTGGATCCTAATAAGATAAAATATTAAAACTGATCCACAAAAAGAGCTCAGTGTATTTATTATAACAGAGCATATAAATTATATAATGGAGAAATCCCAGCTTACCTCATGAGAACAGACTATTTCAGCTATTGTCAATATGCTAGCATTTTTGAGTTGAAAAATTCTAGCTGAAATAGTCTATTCTAATGAGGTTATTTGGGATTTCTCCATTATGTTAGATATATATATATATATATATATATATATATATATATACACATACAATATATGGGTTCCTAAATTTTCGCTGAGGATGAAACAGGGCTTGATACTTTAACTCAATTTAATTTTAATAATTATATTGAGGTTTTCAGCTCTCGTTTTTGAAACATGAGAACTCTTATGTAGCGAAGGAATCATATTTTTTAAGAAATAGTTTTATTTATTTATATATATATATATATATATATATATATATATATATATAAGGTCATTTTGAGTATAATAAATGATATAACCACTATGTGTATATATCTGTTATGATAAATGTACAAAAAAGGACATTATTTAGGTTTTGGTTGATGTATTGTTTGCTTTCTTCAGGTGAACATATAATCAATTTTGTTGGGCTTATTTATAAACTATCCTGTGGGCCATGACAAAGTTCATTGAGTGAATTATAAACAAAACAAAACCCATCTAAACTTTGTACCAGGCATGTTCATCTGGAGATGGATGGAGAATAGACCAATTCAAAAATTAAAAAAAAAAAAAGAATTCTTGCTACATTAAGTATAAAATTATATCATTCATAGCAGTGGCATCTGAGTTTTCAATATGTTGCTGTTTATTTCTGTAGACTTTTTGTGGAGTTCAGAGCTGTAACAACAAGTGAGGCTGTTGTGTTTTTACTTGCAAGTGTCATTTTACTTAACTGGGGTGCTATAACCTGATGCAAAAAATGGACTACCCTACATTTTAACTGTAACGGGGGGGGGTGCGTGTGTGTGTTGTACGTTTGTAGCAGATTCATGTATTTCCCAAAGTATCAAGTGAAATACAAATTTTCCCAGATGGAGGTTGGATTCTTTTTGCAGATTCTATTCTTCATGCCATTAACTGGCCACACACACTTCCTTATCAGTATGAATTTTATTGAAAATGATTCTGAAACAATCATTATAGATTACCAATAGAAATATTATCATTCTGTTATGGAGTGTGAATTTTTTTTTTTTTCTTCCAACGTATGAATCCGAATACCTCGTCGCCAAGTTTGTGGAGTGGTTTTACAGTGGAGACTCATAGTTGTACTAAGTTGGTCCTAAAATAGGTTCGATGTACAAAACATTAGGAACTTGATATAATAAGTAATGATGCAGAGAAATCTAGTGGTGGTCGCTGATACGTTTAGTATTCGACTAACGGTCTTCCGGCATCGACTGACTGACCAACTCACTCAGCTACTGCCTTGTTACTATTACTACTCCTACTTATTATAGGTGGGAGAGTCTATTAACTATAGAATAGGTGTGTTCCACTATAACACATTCACAAATTGTTTATATGCACAGAGACTATATTTTGTGTCTTATATACACTTCTCTATCTGAAAGTTGTGTATTCTTGGGAAACTATTTGGAAGTCAAAGGATATGCAGTGGTGTAATGGATAGCAGTTCAGAATTATGTGCAAATATCCTTGGAAAAGGTATGGGTTAAATAGTTAAACTTGTATCAATAATAATTGTTATAAGTTCCTAAAAGAATTGTTAATGTAATATTAATCCCCACCCCCCAGCCAAAATATAATTATTGTTACAACCCAAAATGTTTTGGTTTTAAATAATCTATAAAATATTAATCTTATATTTAAAGTACAGTGTGTGTGTGTGTCCAAGCAACTCCTCCACTCTCACTGGTCCATTTTCAATGATTCATAGCTCATTCAATTGCCCTAGAAAAGTTAACCGCAGAGAATAATTTTCATTGAGCTCAGATTATGCTTTGTTAAAAATATATATTAATATACTATACTAGCCATTATTGTTGCTTTCATGATTCAAGGGAAGTAACTCTTATCTTCCTTTCATATTCCAAATCCCAAATTGCAGTGCACATTGGCAACCTACTGCAGGAAAAAAAAATGCTATGTCAGTCATGTATCAAAAGATACATGATCACCTAAGTGTCACATAGCATATAAGTAACAACTATATACAGTGATCTTATTCTTTGATATACTTCCTCATAAACACCCAAACTCTATATACACTTACTTGACTAGATTGAATTTTGATTAAGCAATGGATATAAAGAGAAGTTTGTTTAGTCTCAGGCTCTTTATGTTAAAAGTTTTATTATTCAGCCTTACAATGTATATAGGCTTATTGGTGTACCATGTAAGATATTAAAAATTTACTTTTCATTTATTTGAAATTTTGACTTACCATAATTCCCCATGTATAATATGCATTTTTTTCTAAAAAATAATATGCAAAATTAGAGGTGTGTATTATGCACAGTTACAAAAAAACTTAATTTGCTGTAAAATAAAATAAGAATTATCATAAAACTAAATTAGAATAATATTATTCTATGTTTAAAACTGTTTTTTTTAAATAACAGTAGGAAATGCTGGCCATAATGAAATTGGAGAGGTACATGCATGTGTAGAAGCATTTTCTCACAATTTCAGCACAATTTTATGTGTGCGTATTATACATGGGGAATTATGGTACATAATTTCAAATAATGAAAGAAATTATTGAGGAGACTGTTTAAAAAATTCTCAACAAATAGTTTATGGAGATGCTTCTGCTATAAATGTTTTTATCTTGATAGTCGTAAATTATAACATATGGAAAATGTATTTGAGGGCAGCAAGTCTCTCAGAGTCTTACCCCTTGAAATTAAAAGTACTGTATTTACTGGTCTATAAGGCATATTACACAACATTTGTAGAAAGTGATTCTGCATTTTATTTCTGTTTGGATAATTAAATTTTATTTTTGATGTTGCCACACTAATTATTTGTCCAAAGCATTTCTAAGCCTTTACATTTATATAATTTGTAAGAAAAGAAGGAAAAAAAAACCTGCTGTATTTGATGGCATATAAAAGCAGCCTTACCCACCAAAAAGTTTTTTCAAAAATATCTCTTTAGTTTCCTATATGAAGTTGAAGTATCTGATAGATAAATGTTTACTTAGATGCTGTAGACTACTATTATCGGTAGCAAGCCTAACTTCATCAAGATCAGTCCATTTTAGTATATTAGTAACCATTTTTTCTGTTATTTCCTGAAGAAATAAGTTTGTTTACCTCTTTTCATAAGTTATACACCTGATGAGGAATGACTTGGTTAAAACATTGTAATAAAATTTGAAATCGTAAATGCGTTTCTCATAGACAGAATAAATAAGTCTTTGTTTTGTTTAAAATTTTCATAACTTCAATCTTATATCTGATAAAATCTGTATGGAATAAGGGTATGTGAATGAATTAGCTTTTTAGGCATATTCATTCATGAAATTGTTAATCTTCTATATGTCTACTGTCAGTACTTAGAGAAACTTTGATGTGATTTTTGAAATTAAACAAATACTTTTATGATTTAGATTACTTTCAATCACATTAATTATCCTTGTCTGCACATCATTAAAAGAGCAAGGTTTTGTTGAATAAGCAGTAATATTTGCATAAAAAGAAATGCAATGAATTAAAATCAGGTGATCTCTACCTATTAGGGAATTTGTCA